TTACTAGAAGCGATGCACTTGTTCCTAGTAGCTTCTTGTTCCTAGTATACGAACTGCAGAAGCCACATGAAAGAACACATGAAAGTACGTACATGAAGCTACTAAAGGGACCAAATGAAATTTGCAGTTCAAGACCTAAAAACACTTCTTGTCCGGAGGATGATGTATGGGGGTGGATGAGGTAGATGTCACCACAGGCCATCCTTGCTCAAGGGATCCGCTCCAAGGAAGGAATTCGGCCAACTTTGGCGCAGCTGTTGGGGGCACAAGCAACCGGCAGAGGCCGCGCAAAAGGTTTGACGCTTTTCGTCCACTGATGGTCACATGATGATGTCACACGATTTCACCTGCACGAGACAATGACAAACGCACCAATCAAAACTAATCCCCCTGTCATTGTCAAACCTGCTTCTTTTCTTCTTCTTTGTTTGCTTTCTAGCTGGGAGTGTGCTATATGTCCTTTACTCCTCCTTTACTATACCTTTTTTTTCAGTTTTCTCTTGATCAATTTTATATATGTTTTGTTTAAATAGATGGATGTGCAGGCCTTCAATGCATGGCTCTTCGAGGCTTTGAGCCTAGAAGAGCCCCAAGGCCCACTACCGACGTCAACGGAGGTGACTTGCCTTGGGCGTTTGGGGAATTGGTCAGACTGGTTGAGCTGAACAGCCCGGTATGAGCGGTTATTACTCAGCCCGGTATGAGCATCAAACCACTAGGCTAAGGGTCTGAGTTTGACAGCGTGACGGCGCGGGTTTGCTATCGGCGTCGAATTTTCTTAAGGCTTGGAGTTCAAAAACAGAGTTAAATCGCGAGGCCTGGGCCAGGCCTCGAGTCTTGACGATTCATGATGAAATCCTAGCATGAGGGAAGTAGTAGGCCTAATTAGGGACCTAAGCACATCTAGGGGCACCCAAGGTTGAAGGAGAGAAACACGCGGAGTCAGGCACGGGTTCTGTCACTGTCGTTCTCCTAATTTCTCGGCGCACTTTGCGAAGATCCCAATAGAAACATATAGGTGGGACTTGAAAGCTATCACCTCCTGCATCAACCCGTGGCAAATTGGTGCTTTTCGTCATCCCAGCAAACAGTGCTGCGTGGCATTTGTGGCATCCTCTCCAGGCTGACTCTGAAGCTGTGCTGACTTGGGTGACTTTGCAGATTCCCTTCCAGTGGCCTTACACTGAGGAGCCGCAGAGGTTAGGGTTGGAACCACACTGGACATCAATGAGTACAAGGGGCTTGAATAGCTCCTTTGAAAGGCTACTTAGTAGCTTCTTGCTCCTAGTAATAAGGCCAGCCCCTAGTAGCGTCCTTTCAGGCTTGAAATAGGCAAGTCTAGGAAGACGAAGAGCGAAGAGCACAAGCTGTTGACCAGGACCGAGACGGTGTCAAGCCTGAAATTACTAGCGATGGCCTCCAACCTACTAGCTTCTTGCTCCTAGTAGCTTAGTAGCGATGCCCTTTGTTACATTAGATTTCACGCCGTGCCTGGTCATGAAGCAAATCCTGAACTCTGACACTTGCTACTCGAGGACGTCACTGAAGCCGAAGTGAACTTCAAGTCCTTCCTCGAGGTGAGAAGTGGATGCCATTTCCGCAAGAATCTGTCCCCCAAAAGAGGGATGTTTGCATCAAGATGAGCATAAATGTATATAAATGTGCTTATGAAAGCTTTGCTCAAAGTTTTGCTCAAAGCTTTTGCTGCGCTAGGCCTTGAAATGTCCCGCAGCTCACTGGCCTGGCATCAGCGCGCAACTGGTGGACGACATGGCTCTGAAGCTCGAAGGCTGCTCAGAAAGAGCGCTACAAAATGCGTCACAGGAGGCGATCACGAGGCATTGGTTTTGGACAATTTATGTAATATATGTTGATATGCCGTAAGTGTTTATATATATATATATATAATGATAGTCTATGCGTGTGTGCGAGATTTTTATTTGTTACGAAAGCCAGCAGGAACCCGGAGCTTGCCTGGGGAGAGCGCTCCAAAGCGAGGGTCAGAACAGCAGTGAAAATAGGGTCTGGTGATGCGAGTGATGCAATGGACGGCGAGTAGTGCATCATTAGCATCACGAGGGCTGTGGAGGCTATTTGGACAATGGGCATTGAGCACTGGAGTGGAGACACAGGCACCCATGTACAGAGCAACCATCCTAGTCTCTACTATACGTGTACCGTCGAGCGGATGCTTCTCGCGGCGTCCACGTGCACCGAGCGTTGTGCCGCGCAGCTAGATAGATACAGAATAGATAGATAGATCGATAGATCATAGATAGATAGATAGATAGATAGACTAATACATAGATAGATACATAGATAGATAGATACTGGTTGTATGATGTTGTATGTATTGGCGCAAGTATGGTTGTTGGTTGGCAGCGGCAAGTCACTATCAGAACAGGGGCCCATGTAGATAGCAACTTGGTCTGGGAAGAGGGTGTAGCTGCGACGTATGATTAATTTTTGGGCGGATCAGTGGCATAAGCCCAAAGAAAGTCCCCAACAGCAAGAAGCGCCACTGAGACAGTCTCTTCGCTGTCCAAGCCCTCCTCTGGAGCCTTGTCTGCTTTGGAACCTGCTCCGGAACCTTCTCCAGAACCTCCTCATGGACCTGCCCCGCGACCTTCTCCCGAACCTTTTGCTATGTAGCAAATGACCCTCTCGTCTGGCGGCTGCTGGCTTTCGTTCCCCCCCTTCTCAGGTATATAATATTTGATATTTATGACTTTATGACTTTTTGTAATTGCAGTTGATTGTTTGCATTTTTTTTGCACATTCCTCGCTAGAGTCAACTGACTCATTTTTCCACTCGAGGCCAGACTGCGGTGGAATCAGAAGACCAGGCAGGATGGAAAAGGACAAGCAAAGGGTGAAAAGGACATTCTAGGCACCACGTGAAACTAGATTATTCTATGCTTGCCTTGTTGAATGGAGATCACATGACGTCACCACCTTGCTGCAACAAGAACTGTTATCATTGCCTTGCAAGATTGGAGTTCATCGGGAGGACTCCCCATATGATTGAGGCGATTTGCTTTGCGATTGTTCACTCAAGACATCTGAGAACATTGAGTTCTGCCTGAGATGGAAGACATGGAAGGCCCCATGGCCCGTCAGACTCCAGGCCACAGCTTTGCGCTCGGCTGCCTTGCGTGCCTTTCGTCCCTTGCTGCGATCCACGCTGGAAGAACAACTGAAGAACTTTCTTCGCCAACTGGAGCGAGGGAATGGGCTCTCTCACTCCATCAAGCGAATGGAGAAACTATGAGAAACACCTGCCAAGTGATTGTGAACTTATTGGAACACTTGGAGAAACATCCTCGGATTGTTTACAGAATGTTCAGCATTTGTGTTTTGCATCGAACTTGAGCATGCTTTCAATCAAAGCTTTGCCATCAGGTTGGTTGATCAGGGGGTGTACCCATGGGTTTTCACTGCTGCCTGGGCCAAGTGACTGCAGACTGCAGGACGTGGCACTTCAGACCATCCATCAGAAGCTCGCGGCGGAGATTGGAGAGGTGACAGATGTGTCCGTGGATGTGGCAGCTCGGTATGAAGATCAGCTTGGGCTTTGGAGCGAGTGGGAGGCCTCAAATTGAGATGGCCTCCAACCTATAATGGTTTATTTTTCCGTATTTTGGAGGATTTTAGCATCATTCTTCAGCATCCTGTGGAATCCAGCGCGGGGGATAGATCACAACAGGCCGCAGTTCAGTTGATCCTTTTGTGCTCATTTGCTCTTTGTGCGAAGCCCTGTGATCTGGATCGGACTCGAGCGCTGCATTAACAAACGCTGCGGCAACACAGTCCGCAAAGCAGTGTGCAAAGGCCGTCAGCTAGGCTTCCGACTTCGACGATTCGACTAGCGGTAAAGGACGCTACTAGGAGCAAAAGGCATCGCTACTAGGAGCAAGGACGCTACTAGCGGCTCCTGGCCTTACCACTAGGAGCAAGAAGCTAGTTACTAGGAGTTTTTTCGCGCGAAAAGAAGTTGCCTCGAGACTCTGCACAGGAAGAGACTGCGAAGATGGTGCGGTTGGAGCTGCGTGGCTCTTTGCCCGAGTCGATGGAGGGCAAGTTGCCCCGAAGGCCTGGGGCCACATTCACATTTGAACCCTGGTGTCACCCCTGGTGTCATTTGTTCAACACCTGCTATGAAATTTGAGTGCGCCATCCTGAGATATTGTGCCCTTCAATCCTGATATTTCATGGTCCTTCTCTAGCGGAAGTGCTCATAAGATGTCGGGCGTATCGGACCGGCTCTCGTAGGCATGAGATCCATGCAGAGCATTGGCAGAAGCTGAAGCGCCTGTACAAGGACAAAGTCAAGATGGAGCTTATAGATAGCATGCGACTAGGAACAAAGGGCATCGCTACTAGGAGCAAGGACGCTACTAGGGGCTCCTGGCCTTACTACTAGGAACAAGAATGCTACTAGGAGCAAAGGGCATCGGTGCTATAGCGACTATAGCGACGATCGATAAGGATCATGGGGAGGGCACAGTCTGCTTTGATGCTGAGAATTCCTGCAGAGTTGATGCTCTTGCCGGCTGTTGCCTGATGCAAGCAGCGTTTTCTTTGCAAACCGTCGACGATCGTATTTTCATGATAGATTTTGAGCATACTACAGTCATATTGAGTCACTGATTTCTTCAGATAATTTTTGTCATCATTACAGTATTCAATCTCATTGATCACGATACGTCACGTTGATCAACGTTGATCGTCTCAAAAGACCTGTGATTCATCAAGGTTTTGGACACGTTTGGACGGGCTGCAGGAGGATTTGAAAGACTTTCCCGAGAAGTGCTGGATGCTCTTGATGCGCTATCGGGCTCTCTTCGGTCCCCATGATGAGGCCTTCTTTTGCACCGAATTCCCGGGCCGTTTGAGGTGTCTTTTTACAATCACAAAAAATCAAAACTCCATAATTAGATCATTAGATCCTTTTTTCCAAACGCCCAACTGCTGCAGACGTCAGAAGCTTTGACAAGGTGGATGGTAGTATTTCTATGTATTTCTAAAGCATTCGGAATGCTCATGATGCTGATGTGTCGGGCAGTAGGTTGCCAACCTACAAACGTCAGAAGGTCGATCATTTGCCAGAAGCTTGTGGGGTGCTCCCACCAGTCTGGTGCATGTGGACCTTTGTTCCTAGTAGCGTCGATATTACTACTAGTAAGGCCAGGAGCTACTAGTAGCTTCTTGCTGCTACAGGGAGCTGGTTGGCATATGGCCCTCACGCCAAGTGTCTTCGAAGCCCTGCAGCAGGCGTTGCGGTGAGCATGAGCACATGGGCGACATGGGAGCAGTTGTGATTGCTCATCTATGGAGTTGAAACCTACATCATGCAAACCCGGAAGGTTCACAAAGTAGGAATGGATGTAACCCCCATGACTTCTACAAGTGGTAACATTGTGCCAAGCAACTTGCAGCTACAAATAAGAATGCTTCTACCTTGTGGACTTTTTCTCCAGATAGCCGGAGCTATTGGGCTTCTTACTTCAAGCAGAAGAAGTGGTGCCTGTGTGCGCTTCAGGGTGGAGCAGCAGGGTGCTACTGCGAGATGCCTAATGGCCATGTGTACTTTGAGCTTGGGTGCTGGTGCTGCTGCAGGGTGCCGCCACCGCACATATATATATATATATTATATGTATATACTGTAGATGTCTATGGCAGTGTGTTTTTTTGAAGCCTGGGTGTTGCTGCTGCTGCAGGGCGCTGCCCGCTAGTATTTTTGTGAGAATATAGTCCTTAAAAGAATGCTGGTTGGAACAAGAAGGCTCAGCTGACGACTCGAGGAGCTCAAGGTCACGCATGAGCTCTTTGCGTCGCCCTTGAACTGCACGTTGCCCAGCTACTGCTCGCTCTTCAAGGAGATTCGCCGAGGATTGACATATGCATGACCGCACCAGTGCCCTCCAACCCAGTAGCGATGGCCTCCATCCTACCCAAGGAATCTCATGCAGGCGCGCTAGTTATCGCCCCATTTTGTGGTGAACTCCCTTATTTATTTACAGCACGGGCACACGACCATAAAAGATCTCTGAAAGGCCCTCTCAAAAGAGCATCTCTACTTTTTCTCTTCCGTACGGGCATTCATGCTGCATGTCCCATCAAACTGATGGGGTCAGCAGGCATTCGTGGTCACCATCATGCTACGATCATAATCGCCATCACATGTGAAAGGGATTTATGATACCCTTTTCAACGTCCGTTCGTTGCATTGTGCATTGCTCACATTCATGCACGTCACTTCTCACAGCAAATTGCTCCCACACCTCTTGACATGTGGAAAACACAGATGCAACATCACGAGCCGCACAAGATGGTTGTCAGTTTTGTATAGTTTTGTGTATCATCCCTGGCTGGCCCTGCAAGATTCTTTATGTGTTTTCTTTCTTTTAGTATTGGTCGAATAAGCCGGACATGCATGGTATATCCCGATAACCTTGTCAAAAGATCATGGTCTCAGTCCAATCCAATCTGATGATTCTGATGCAAAGTGACACATCACGAGCTTCTGCTGACCTGATGTCAATAGTCTAGCTACATGGCGATAAGTTGGCTTTCAGAGCTCGATAGGCAAGTCTTAGCTACAACAATTTTACTTTGCTCCGTACATGAGGCTTCTGCTTCGAACCTGAATGAGCATGTGATAGTCAAGCTATCAAAGAAGCAGGACACGGACGCTGCCTTCGGCTCTTCAGGCAGCTTCTTCCATTTCGGCACCTTGGATCAATATGTTGCTTAGGGATCAAGACGTTTAGCGGGTGTGTTCGGTGGAACGGCACAAAGTGATGTAATTAGCCTGATCAATGTGATATATGTACAATGTAACAATATATGTATATTAATATATATATATATAGCTTTCCATGAAAAATATACTACTGTGTCTCCTTCCGGCGCCATTTGATTTGCAGTGTTCCAAAAGCGCACGAGCATTGGTTGGAAGTTTGAAGTGGGGGTGATTATGTATAATATATCTCCTGTGACAAGATGTTATTAAGCCACCCCAAAGCCTAGATCCAAACTGAAAAGCGGCACCCATAAGCTTCCATGTTGCGCACCTTGCTTGCCCATCGAGCTTGGCCCAGCCTAGGAAAGTCTCTCCCAGCGCCTGGCAGCTTTGAGTGCAATCCTCCGTTTGAGGCTGCCCCCCGTAGGCAGATCGCATCTTTGCTGGATCGACTTCTTGGTTCAAAAGCAGAGCCGCTGTTGGAATTTTTGGACTCGGTTTTGCCGGTACCAAGCTGCGTTTTTACATCCAATCACATTGAATTGAAGCAGAGGATGCACAATTTTCGGACGTTGAGGCAGTTGCTAGAGTGTAGATCTAGAGCATACATTCTGGTGCCCTACTGCCCAAAAGTTGCAGGTTGTTTCTTTTGAAGTTGGCCCTGTGGTAGATCAATGACACTGCGACTTTCCCTCTTCAGGATGGTTTGATGCTGAAGGCTGTGAATTGCATCCTGCAGTCCCTTCATCAGGTGGGGGATGAGTGAAGCAGCCGTGCGGACTCCTGGGTTATTCAAGTGCCGTAGCCTCAGAAGAAGTCAATGATGCTTGATAGGAGGGTTGGGAGATTGAAGCCTGTGAGCCACAGTGAACCTTTTTGTGCTATTGGACATGCAGTTTGGGTATTGACAATTGCAACATCGTGGGGCAAGTTGGCGAAAACGGTGCCATGAAAATTGCAGGAGGTGAAGCCCCTCTCCATTGCACTGATCTTGCCAATCTGGCCAGGCAGTCCAGCAATGATATCTGTTCCTCGGCAGAACCTGGTAGAAATCTTGCTGATTCGTTCGTGCCATGTCATGCCTCTCACTGCGGCCACATCAAAGTGAAGGGGCTGAAGTTTCAATGACCAGACTGCTAGCTATGTGTCAGACATATATAATTGGACGTGCTGTAGCTGTACACTCATTGGCTGTCAGCCTAGTCGGTGGCCGCCCTCGCGCCAGCAGCACCAAGAGGAAGTTGGAAATTTGATGAACTTTGTACATCACAAAAGTTGCTTGACAACTACTAGTAACAAGAAGCTACTATAGTTGCTATATAGTAGCTCCTGGCATTACTACTGCAAGAAGCTGCTAGTAACAAATGTACTAGGTTGTAGGCCATAGATGTGCTGCCAAGTTGCAGCAGGCTTGTAAAGACCAGTCACCTGTCAGTGGTCCCATCTCGTCGCTTGACGGAGCTCGCATGTGAGGCTCTAAAGTCTTCCTTCTGCCGTGGATCTATCGAGATCAGAGGATCAAGTCATTGCTATTTAAATGGCCGTGCCCTGTCAAGCAGTGAGATAGATAGGCGATGTTGTTCGGGAGAATACGGGCCTGGGCCTAATGGGGGATGTAGACAGGTGGTCGAAGTCTCTCTAAGGAGCTGTTTGCCCTGGGACTTGCTCACCCCACCCGTTCCCTTAGTGCTTTGGGACAAGACATGCCCTCTAGATGTGTGTTTGCTTCAAAGTGTTTGTGTAGCTCGTGCGGAATTCACTATAGGATTCTGCGGGCTGATTACATGGGGTTGCCTCAGCGAAAAATTGATTGCCCAAGGTCTTTCTATCTCTCATTTCTATGGACTCTTGGTGTCCAACACGTTTGGATCAGTACATTTGATAGTAAAACTTGTTGGCAGCACAGGGTAATCAGTTGGCCGGAAGCAAAGACCCCACCCCTGCTGCAGTTTGCAATGCAAGCGCGTGCCTTTGGGCTTGAGACGATCGCTGCAAGAAGAAAAGAGGACATGTCTTATGTGATGAAGCCATGTCTTGACGGCTAGTCATGTAGTCCCTTGATTTATCACCCCCCCCCGCCCCCCTCCCTCACCAATTGGAGACCCTAGAATAATATGCTATAAATCCAATCAATTGATGAAAACAAAAGGAATCGGTACTTAGCTACCTCCGGAAATAAAAAAGTGAACAACATCCAGAATCCTAACATTCAAGACATGTGCAATATTAAATCAAAAAACAACAATAAACCCAAAATGGACATCTCAAAAACTACTCCCCCACAAACTAACATAGAACCTGAGAATTGACCCGTGGAAGACTATTTTCCTCTACAACCCAGTAGTTTGGGGGTTTCATGTTAATCTGCAGGGGAGGTACCCCTTTGCTGGAATCATGTTCTGTGTGTTTTTTTCAATAGTTTTGAATAAGGATTTTAGTAAGGAACGTGCGCACATGCTTTGGGAAGTTTCGGAAGGGATAGAAATTAGAGAGATTATCAAAAGGAAAATAACTAACTAATCACAAAGAAACAAAGCAGAAAGAATGAAGAGCAGTTTCAGGAAAGCTGCAATCCAAGAAGCCACAAATCTCAAGACATTGTAGGGGCCCTTCCAAATATATAATGCCAGACACTTGTTTGCTGGACTACCCCCTTTACTGGAATATGCTGGAATGATTTTTCTTTGTTGTTCAATGTGTTTGAATAAGGATTTTTGTAAAGAACGTTCGCGCATACTTTGGGAACTGTTGGAAGACTTACAGAATAAAGGAATTGACAAAGAAGGACATTTGCATCCAAAGATCTTCAAAATCATTGAACCAGAGAGAGAGATAAGAAACAACATAAAACACAGTATTTCGCCTAAACAATCCCTCCCCCCAAAAAGATATAAGACATATAAAGCAGAGGACCACATTAGGTATGCCGAAGAACCTAGTGACTCCAGTGCATATTCAACCTTGCGCGGAGCCGGACTTCCTCCTAGGACAGCACTATTGCAAGCCGAATCACATGCTCCTGTGCCAAGCTGAAGCTAGAGGTTCCCTGCTTGTCGTGCTGCAGACACTTCTCCGCATTGTAGTGGCATTGGAAGTGGTTGAGTGGAAGCTCAGGTTGCCATCCTTTGAATCCAACGTCATTCAAGCCGCTTCAAGCCCTTGTCTTCAGGAATTCTGCTGGCACCCAGTTGTGGCCCTTGACGTCTGCAGCGCTTCAACGTTTGCAGGATGCCTGGCAGCCGGCCAAGCGGCAGAAGACAGAGAAAGCTGCGCAGACAAAAGCGTTTGAGTCGGAAAAGGCGCTGTCACCGAAAGCCGCGCTGGCACCGGAACGAATTTAAGAAGCGGATCATCGGGCAAAATGCTGCTCCAGATCTGGAAGCCATCGCCACATGAGGCCATCGCTACGAGTAACAAGGGCAGATAATGCCCTTGTTACTAGTAGCGGTGCCCTTGTTACCACCAATTCCAACATACCTTAGCATCCTCCTTTTCACCTTGCACTTCAATCTCTTGAGTCATGCAATTTAGCTCTTTTTCGGGACCGAGAGGAACCGGAGGGATGTTTGTAGATGTGTGCCCACGATTCGATCTCTCAGGTGGGTCTCTTCGGTCGTCTGAGCTTCAGTGATCTCTCGGTGTGTATTTGAGGGTGGGCGTGTTCTCGGTGATTGCCCACGGAAGTATCCGTCCGTTGTATTGAGAACACGCCCATCGGTAATTGAGGTGGTTTGTCGAGTCTTTGAGTGTTGTACCTTCACTTGTAGTTCTTTAAGATATTTGTCATTGTGCCGTTGTGTAGGGAAAACCACTGTGTGTATATCACTGCCTTGTGTTGATGCGATTGCTTTGACGTTCGTGTGCTTTCCACTTTGTGGACTTTGCGGGCTTTGTTGTGCTGTAGCTGTAGGCCCTTGAGATTTGGTGTGGCTCCCAGCACGCCGTATCAACCATTGCACTGCAGCGGGGTTTGTGCATGCATCAGAAAATGAACATTACACAATACTTATTGTAGAAGACGCATAGAATAGCATAGCAAGAGTTCCAGCGAGTGCAACTCTTCAGCTTGTTCATTGTCCAGGGAATTCGCTTATGCCCTTTGTAGTTCAGGGGTTGAGAAACCCAAAGTTTGCTGACCATCAGTTTGTATGTCTAGGGCTTCCCATTTGCCTTTATGTAATTACACGGTGCGGACTCCTCTGCACTTGACTTAGCTGCGCTTGGAATATTTAAGTTCATGCCTTCTCGTCTTGTTCCTGCAGTTTAATAAGGAACGGGAGTGCTTGGCAGGAGAAGATGCTGCAGCGTGCTAAGACTCCGGAAGTTTTGCCAGGTATATATATATATATGGATACTATGTTGCAAAAGATAGGAGGTATAGGACGTATAGGATATTCATTTTCATATATATATATATATTCGTCATCTCCCATGCCAAACTTGTAAAAACCAGTGTTTTTGGCTCAAACATTCCAATGTTTGCTGGCATGGGTCCGAGCCTCAGAATGACGAGAGAACCGACCTCCACAGGAAAGAGCCTCTCATGGTTTATCCAAGCCAAAGAGTTTCCGCTAATACACTGCCCTGCGCAACTTGAGACAGACAGCCCTTTCGGCTCGAGCCCTGAATCCAAGTATGAGGCCTTTTGTCGAGAAAAAGGCCCCCCAAAACTATTGTGTACTTCCAAGGTTTGTTCGGAAGGAGGGTTCACGATTCTCGATACCATTCCAGACGCAGTTGGAGGACAGCCAGAACGTCATCCACCACAACACATGATTTGCACATGTTGTGCAAATCTGCGATCCAGTCAGCAACATGGAGCAGGGACGCTACTAGTAGCTCCTGGCATGAAGGAGAGAAGGCACTTCTCTTTCCGGCAGAATGTGCTGGTCCCCGACAGGTCACCTGACTATTAGCATGAGGGCTTGACAACATTTGTCAGAAAAACGGGGGCTCCAGAGTTCCAAAACCAACCACAACTTCGAGAACCTGGCACTTTGTTGCCCCTGCGCCATGGCAAGTTGCCAAGTTGTGGTGTTGTATCCTTCTGGAGAGCCGGCCTTTGAGCGGGCATTGCCAGAGAAAACCAATGCCTGGGAAATGCAACAGCTGCTGGCAGCAACTCAGTTTAAGCGTTGAATGTTGTCGAGTGGCTGAGCGGCAGTGAAGCTCAAGCTTGGACCCATCCATTCGGTGGGGATGAGCCAGCTTGCCATTGAGGATGGTTGGATGGTTTAAGACAAAGCACCCGGCAAACAACAAATTTCATGATTGATTGGTTTGCAAGTCTGACCCACTGTGCGCAATTAGGCTGTTGGAACGTCCTTACTTGTCACGTGCCCCATGTTGGCAACGTGTCACATTGGGTTTGGCTGGATTTGTTTGCGGCTTTGAGGTAGAGATGCGAGCACATGCGTGGCAACTGGTAACTTGGACTGAACGAAGATCTACAGATCTACACTCTCTGGGACTGCTCTGGAAGTTCAGACTGCCGGGTTCGCGTCATTCCATAAGGAGCTCATCCATGGCGGCCAGATATTGCCCAGGCGCAGCTCGCTGGCTGCTCCTTGGCCTTGGCATTGGGGGACAGCTCAGGCACCGGGCATTTGGATTCGCAGATACCAAAAACAAAAAAGCAAGGTGTTAACAAGAAGCTACTAGTGTCAAACGGCATCACTACTACACTACTAGGAGCAAGGACGCTACTAGTAGCTCCTGGCCATACTACTAACTTTTGTGCCCTTCTTTGGCCGCTTTTGGCCCAGGATATGCGAGATGCAATGCCCGGGCATGCCGTAGAGCTGCAACTGGTTCGGAGAGCAGTTCAGGAGATGCCGCCGGGCACAGTGCATTCGATGTTGAGGGATCTATATGGATCAATGTTATACTATGTTATACTTATATCTACTTGCTCGACTTAGTTCTGTGATGTTGTGCAGTTGTGCCTTTATGTTTGGTGACCTGGTGACCGTCAGTCGTCCCGTATGGCATGCCAGACACATGGATCTACCACCAGGTCGGTGGATAATGACCGCATTGTACTGCAGTGGCACACCGATCCCAAGCCGCAGGAGTACAAACCCCAATTTGGCGATGCTACTTGTCAACCTCGAAAAGCTGTCCGGACTCCGTAGCAACATGTTCTTCTACTATGTTTTTTTTAACCAATTGGGCTGTCAAACTATGTCACACCGCTTAATTTCAATCATTGTGGCATGTTTTTGAAAGATCATTGTTTCTCAGCGAAACTGGGCCTCTGGGCCTCGGTCAAAGGCAAGGTGCTGACTTTTTCTGCAACGTGAATACTTGCGGCAAATCTCACAGGGAAACCTTTTGTGTTGGAAGCGTCACATGGGCCATGGCAAGTCCGTTCAAAGACTCTGAGAGGACGCTACTAGGAGCTCCTGGCATCGCTACTAGGAGCAAGAATGCTACTAGGGGCTCCTGGCCTTACTACTAGGAGCAAGAAGCTATTAGCTTATTGCTTCTACTAGCTTCTTGTTACTACTAGTAAGGCACTTGTTACTACTAGCGTGGCACTTGTTACTACTAGTTTACTTAGAAATGCAAGTCCAAAGTTCAAAGACTCTGAGAGGTGTTTGTTTTTGATGTTTTGCATGAGCGGCGGTTCACACTGACAGCAAGTCAGGGTGGGCATGCTCACTGCCGCAATTGGGCGACTGTGCTTTTCTATGGTTTGGGCTTCAATGGCTTGGCGCAACTTGGCACCCATGCGTGGATAGGAATGGTCGAGTGTCGCGCTGAGTGGCAAAGCACTTGACTATATTGAAAGTAGATTGCTAGCCGCGAGCCCAGTGAGAGAAACAGAAAGAGAGGCAGATTGCAATCCCTCAAATCCCTCCTCACATGCTGACTGCAAGCAACGCCTGTATGAGATTTCAGTGTTGAGCTTTGCTTGTGAGCTCACTCTAAGGCAATTTATCAACTCAGTGCGAAGGGCAAGGCTGCCAAGATTGCAAGCAAGGCCTCGTCGGTATGCTTTTCTTTCTTTGGGGCAGGGGGCACGCGCGTGCGCTCAGGCTTGTTTGATCCTGTTGCCTCGCTCTCTCATGTGCTCTCTTATTCCGATCTCAATCTCCCCAGGCGCTTTATTCATGTTTGTATCCCTGCTTTTCTTCGTCCTTGAGACATGCTGTGACTCTTCGCAGTGACTTAAGATAATTGTCAGAATACGTTATCTAGTGCTATTGTATGACACAGACTCACATATATATATATATATGTATTCCTCTGCTCATGATGTACTGGAACAAGTGTGGTGATGAGGAATTATATATCATGATGTCTCACTGCCTCATCTGAGCCGCGCTGCTAAAGCATGCAGGCCGGGTGCTTTGCCAAGCAGGCAAGGCGGAATGAACACGTACTGGGAAGGGATGTCAAGGAGCGTCTACATCTTCGAATGATAAACCCAACAATGCGCCGCTTTTCAAGGGACTGTTGGATGCCTTTGTTTTGGACATTTGATGTCGTGTACTGCAGTAAATTCTCGGAAGTGAGCATAGGATCACATAGCTCGAGATAGCTCGAGATAACTCGTCTAGGTGAGTTTTGCATGTACTAATCTGAAAGACCTTAAAGGATCTCAAAAGCTATTACTGTAGTTTGGAGGCCATTGCTATTAGTTTGGAGGTGATTGCTAGTAGTTTGGAGGCCACCGCTAGTAGTTTGGAGGCCATCGCTAGTAGTTTGCAGGCCATCGCTATTAGTTTGGAGGCGATTGCTAGTAGTTTGGAGGCCACCGGAGGCCATCGCTAGTAGTTTGGAGGCCATCGCTAGTAGTTTGGAGGC